CCCCTGCAATGATTCAGATGGCTAAAGCCAGTTTAACCTGTTCATCCTCTATAATTCGTGAACCATCCTTAATTATTGATGATCGTCAATCTAAAGGAAAGACATGCAAAATTCTAACCAAACAACTTTTTCCTTCTCAATTAAAAAGAAAATATTTGTTTAAAGATTATAATTGGAGGTTTTTGACTGAGTATCTTTCTTTTCCAATTCCACCAAAAGCAAAAGAAAATCACTTTAAAATCTTAAATGCCATATACCCGTCCACGGACCGTCTTCATAAGAAATTCAATATAGATACGAGTGCATGCACTTTTTGCAACACTGATATTGAGACTACAGATACTAATGATAGTTATATAAGAGCAGATGCTGCTGGTGCAATAAGCTGTACGTTTTACAGCCAATGGATGATGATCTGACTTTGTGGCAGCCCTAGTGTGTTTTAATAATGTTGGTCAAGAAGACTAGAAAGATTATGACAATAATAAGTTGAAGCTAGGAGAATGTTGACTGTGTAAGCTAACAGACTTCTTCTCTGCGTCTCAGACGTTTGTTTCAGGCTCAAAGGTTCTGGCCTGTTGGACCGACTGTCGTTTCTACCCGGCCAAAATCCTCCGCGTCAACAAGGACGGTGAGGTTCAGCTGTGACCTTTTACCTCTGCTGTTTTTCTACTGTATTCTACTGCTGGTTGATTTACTGATTTTTGGGGAAAAAAGGTCAGTGCAGCTGTTTATCACAAGGTTTTCTGATGAATCACTAAGCACCTGCCATCTGCACCCCTCACTAACTTTTGGCTATTCAGCGGACCCATGCATATGTTTTCTTTCATAGTATATATCGTAACGATTCAGATTCAGCTTGCTTCTGCACTTAAGAAGTGAGGAGGTCTTAATAATACTGGGAAAAAATGAGGTGAGAGGCCCAAAATTTCAGCCCACCCCTCTGTGCTTCTTGTTCCAGTAACTAAACTAAAGTATGGAGGTAGGATTGTGTGTGGGTCCATTAGTTACTCTACAATATAAATCAGCTAATCCTGAGTGCTTTTCCTTATTCAATGATATTAATGATATAATGCTGCTTACATTATTTTTACAGTTGAAGCTGATTGGTCTGTTAAAAGCGTTTCATTAAAGAAAAGTCAAATAAATCCTGATTAATTCATGCTAAAAACTCTGGTTTAGAGTCGAGTAGCTGCCTCAGGTGGGAGCGGTGAGGTATCTCTGGGCTTTGTTTGAGGTACTTAGGTGGAGATTGAAGCAGGAGATTGACAGAAGGGCTGGTGCAGCTGGACCGGCCTGTTGTGAGGAGGGAGCTGAGCCTGAAGGCGAAGCTGTCAATTTACTGGTTGATCTACATTCCCTGTCTCATATGTGACCCCGAGCTGTGGGTAGTTACCAGAAAATAAGATTGTGCATTCAAGTGGCAAAAATCGGGCTCTCCCTTCAGACAGAGCTCAGAGTACAGCCTTTGCATCAAAAGGTGCCGGTTGAAGCGGTTCGGTCGGCTCTGACCCAGATAAGCTCCAGAAAAGTGTTCGGTGAATGGATGGGCGTCTTTTCTGTCCTCCTTCATGCTGTTTGACTCCCGCTGTCCGTCTTTGTGCTGCGTTCCTGTTGTTACTGAAGCGAATCGGCTGTTTTTGGAACATCATTGATCTAAACCTGGTGTTTGTGTTTTCCTGTGTCAGACTCCTACACAGTGCGGTTCTATGATGGCGTGGTTCGGACTGTGAAGCCCACCAAAGTCAAACCTTTCCAGGAAGTAAGAAATGCTTCTCGCTAATTGGTCCTCGTCTCCTCAGTGTTTCACACAATCACAACGTCTTTGATCCTAAATGTGTTTGTTTTTGTTTGTTTGTCGTTCTTAGAAATCCAGATCTGAGAAAAGTGCTGTGGGGAGCGAGGGATGGGAGGAGGGTGAGAGTGAGGAGGAGGAAGGAGGAGAAGGACAGGAAGA